CTAGTGATATAAATATGTAACTGCCTAACATCACAGGTGCCTAAAATATCCAGGTCAAGAAGGTAATGGGTTAAACTACAAGACTCCTGTAAAATCTTGTGACTAGCTCCAAATCAACATTAAAAACAAACAAAACAGGGGCTTCCCTGGTGGCGCAGTGGTTGAGAGTCCCCCTGCCGATGCAAGGGACACGGGTTCGTGCCCCGGTCCGGGAGGATCCCACATGCCGCAGAGCGGCTGGGCCCGTGAACCATGGCCGCTAAGCCTGCGCGTCTGGGGCCTGTGCTCCGCAGCGGGAGAGGCTGCAGCAGTGAGAGGCCCGCATACCGCAAAAAACAAAACCCATTAACGTTTAGCTCTATGGCTTTGGAAGCTGAGAAGCTGAAGCATCATGCTAACCACAGGCGCATGCTATATACCCCTTGACTGTTTCAGAGCTGTATTTTAAGATAGTTCAGCACTGCTCTGCTATAGTTTCTAGTACAGTCTTGGCTATTGTAAACAAAACTGCTATTAACACATAAGGGTCTGTTTTTAAATTACAAGGATGGAAAAAAAAATACAAGGATGAACTGTTCTTCCCTCTACTTCCTCTGTGGGATTATTGCCCCTATAGTCATTAGGGACTCCACATACACACCAGAACTTGTACTGGCATTAAGAATTATGACATAGATTACTTCAGGGGGAAAAGGCACTACTCAGTAAAAGGAGTGACAAGGAGATAAAAATATGTTTCTAATAATATAAAATAATCATGGTAATAATAATAGCAGCTAAGATTTATATAGCACAGGCTATATGCCAGGCACACTGTTCTTGGTGCTTTACATTTAAACCTCACATCCACCCTATGAGGTTGAAACTGTTATCCTATTTCACTGATAAGGATAAGGGCAAATAAATGATCACATGCCTGTTAAAAGATAGAGCCAAGGGTCTGAATCCAGCAGTTTGACTCTAGAGACCACTGCCCCACTGCTAAAGATATTCTGGTAATTCAACCATACACATTTACTGGGACCTTGCCATGTGCAAGGCATTACCATACTGAGAGCTCAAGGTACGAAGGTACAACATGGCTCTCCTTTGTGTTTGCATCTAACTAGACTCTACAGCTCAAAGTTTCTTTTCACCAGTGACTATATCAAAATAATTTTTATACTCAAAACACTTCTCTAAATAATTAAGGATAACTGTTATGAACAATGATTCTCAAAGCAAAGCACCAACAATTCAAAGAGGTTCAAAAATTAATCCAGAAGACTTCTGGTTTCTGGTTCTGCATACAAGGAGCTCAGAAGTTGCCACTCTATCCTAACAACAAGAAAAATGCTACACAGTCTGAAAAATCAACAACTCTTCTTGGGTCCATAAGAAAGAGTAGGACACAGGGCAAACTACTACCAGCATGATTAGAGAGACAGGCAAATATGCGAGTCTTAGTTTACAAGAGAGACTAATGAACAGAAACTGCCATAGAAGGCAGTGACGGGGTACCAAAACCTGAACTGTAACTACTTAATTGCCAGAGGCTCAGTATGGGCAACTCATAGTTAAAACTCTAGGGGGACCCAGTCACAGAGGGGGCTCCCTCAAAGCTGTGATATTTATCTCCAGGAGCTCAACTAGGTTCCCATAGTAAACACCAGAGAAACATCCCCTCGGACAGGGGGAGGGCAAAAGGAACCATTTTTGAAATACACCAAAGCACTCAGTTCTCTGTCTGCCCTCCACAGAAACTAGTTAAACAGCGCCTAAACTGCTAGGGCATTATCAGAGTCTAAGTGACCTGGGGAAGGGAAATACCCAACTCCAGCCCACTCTAGCCACCCAGTCTCACCTAAGCAGGGAGGAAAAAAACTGAAACACTTGTGAAGTTCAGAGTCCAGAGACACAGGCTTGCTAAAAGCCTGAGACCTAACATAGGACTACAGAATGCTTTCCCTCCCTGACACCTCACCACCACATTACTAAAGACCTATTTACAACAGTTTCTTTTCCCTGGTATATCATGTTAAGGTATCAAGGAAAAATTACAAGGCACACTGAAAGGCGAAAAATGCAATTTGAAAAGAGAGAGTAAGCTTCAGAACCACACACAGCAGAAATGTTGCAATGAACAGACCAGGAATTTAAAACTGTAATTAATATGCTAAGAACTCTAACGGATAAAGCAGACAGCATGCAAGAATAGATAGGCAATATAAGTACAGAGACAGAAATCCTAGAAAGAATCAAAAAGCAATACTAGAGATCAAAAACACTGTAACAGAAATGAAGAGTGCCTTTGAGGGGTTTATTAGTAGACTGGAGAAGGCTGAGGAAAGAAGCTCTGAGCTAAAGGATATATCAATAGTATCCTCAAAAACTGAAAAGCAAAGAGGACAAAGACTGGAAAAAAACAGAACCAAATACCTAAGACAAGTACAAAAGGTGTAACATATGCATAATGAGAATACCAGAAGGAGAAGAGAGAAAAGAACAGAAGAAATATTTGAAATCATAATGACTGAGAATTTCCCCAAATTAATGTCAAACCCCAAACTACAGATCAAGGAAGCTCAGGGAACACCAAGCAGGATAAATGCCAAAACAAACAAACAAAAACTAAACAAAAAAACTGCTCCACAGTATATCATTTTCAAATTACAGAAAATCAAAGATAAAAAAAAATTAATTCACTTGTACACTGTTGGCGGGAATGTAAATTGGTGCAGCCACTGTGGAAAACAGTATGGAGGTTTCTCAAAAAACTAAAAACAGAGCTACCATATGATCCAACAATTCCACTCCAGGGTAAGTATCCAAAAGAAAAATACCACTAATTTGAAAAGATACATGTACCCCAATGCTCCTAGCAGCATTATTTACAATTACCAGGATATGGAAGCAACCTAAGTGTCCATCAACAGATGAATGGATAAAGAAGATGTGGTATAGGCAATATAAGTACAGAGATAGAATAGAATACTACTCAGTCATAAAAAAGAGTGAACTTTTGCCATTTGTATCAACGTGTATGGACTTGGAGGGAATTATGCTAAATGAAATAAGTCAGACAGAGAAAGACAAATACTATATGATATCACTTACATGTGGAATCTAAAATATACAACAAACTAGTGAATAAAACAAAAAAGAAGCAGACTCACAGATATAGAGAACAAACAAGTGGTTACCCGTGGGGAGAGAGGACAGGGGAGGAGCGATATAAGGGTAGGGGGAAAAAAAGGGGTTATTATGGGATTATATGAAATCATGTGTGTGAAACTTTTGAAAATTGTGAAGCACTACAGAATTTAAAGAATCTTTCATTCAGTTAGAAAAAGTAAGCACAATGTAAAGAGAAAAATCAATCTAAAACTCGGTGAGCCTAGGACTAGAGTAAGTACTGCAAAAATTCAGAATACATAGTCCTTGCTTTCAACATTTCTTTAAATTTACATCTAAGCCAGTGGTTCTTAAACTTTAGCAAAGATCAAAATCACCTGGAGAGCCTGTTAAAACACAAACTGCTGGGCTATATCTCAAGAATTTCTTAGGCAGCAGGTCTGGAATGGGACCTAAGAATTAGTGTTTCTAACAAGCTCCTGGGTAATGCTGTTACTGCTAGTCCAAGGACTACACTTTAAGAAACACTGGATAATTTCATTGCCTTATAAACAAATCATGCTCATCCTTACTCTTTATTTTTAAACTCATGTCCTTGCTCTTGTCCCGACCTTTATTTCAAGGGAATATACTGTGAATTGGAAACTCAAAAGAATATAATAGATACGGAAGAATTTGAGAAGATAAAAAAACTATACAAATGAAAGGACTAATACTTCATGCATTTGGACCTCAGACACTCAGCAGTTTCAGCTACATACAATGAGCTATAACCACAGAAGTGATCACAGAGATGGAAAAGGAACAAAAACAGCTAACAAGGACCAAATATGTGCTGTTTCTTCCTATTTTCCACCATAATATATTGCAGTCATCAGGGAGGGGTACCTATGATAGCCAAGAAAAATAGAAAAAACTGAATGTGATTAGGATAGCAGCAGTGATACAGACCAAGTGGAAATGGACAAGAAGTAGACACATTAATGGAGAAAAAGATACACGCTGAACAGAAGTAGCCATAAAACAAGGGAAAAAAGTGAATAACCTATTTAAAGTGTCAGGTGATTAACTGAAAAGAAACGCCAAGTCCTAAAAACCTATATAACGGTATTACTATGCCATATTAAAGCACATCAACAACACAGCAATCTAGGAACATTTAGGCTGAAAGAAATAAGCCACACATACTTTTAGTAAACATAAGTAACTAACATAGCATAACTGTCATGAGAAATAACTCTGAGTCATCAAGAAAAAGTTCAAATATGTTTGACGCTTTTTTTCTTTATGCTTGACTCTTAAGGCAAAAACAAGTACTTTATACATTTTAGCAAAATTTTTCATAAAAATATATCCAAAACATTTATATCTTGGCAACTAATGGGGAGTTAGTTAACTGGAAATATCAATCATCCAGATATCTGTGACTTTTCTCAGGTGTTACTCAGAAAAACAATAGTCACATGATGGGCTTCCCTGGTGGTGCAGTGGTTAAGAATCTGCCTGCCAGTGCAGGGGACACAGGTTCGAGCCCTGGTCCGGGAAGATGCCACATGCCGTGGAGCAACTAAGCCCGTGCACCACAACTACTGAGCCTGTGCTCTAGAGCCCACAAGCCACAACTACTGAGCCCACGTGCCACAACTACTAAAGCCTGCGTGCCTAGAGCCCATGCTCTGCAACAAGAGAAGCCACCGCATTAAGAAGTCCGTGCACTGCAATGAAGAGTAGCCCCAACTCGCCACAAGTAGAGAAAGCCCATGCGTGGCAACGAAGACCCAACGCAGCCAAAAATAAATTAATTAATTAATTTAAAAACAAACAATAGAGTCACATGAAAAATAACATGATCACTTCAGTTAAATATTCTAATAACTTTTACTTACCAATGGGAAGATCTTCAGCTTTTGCAAGGTCATTCTCTTCTATTCCAGGCATTCC